CTTGAGCATCTTCCTTTACCGATTTAAATGTGTTTCTAAACTCGCGATCCTCTGCCGTTTGTCTTTGCTATGGCCACCATCAGCTGTTCCTACACATGTGCGGTGTGGTCATTTTTAAAAATAGTTCAGCTTTTGCCACTGTGTGGATTAATACTGAATGTGTCATTGTTATTACTTGGGCGTAAGGTTAAGAGTACAGTAGTATGCCGGTGTTTAACTGCATTGCTTTGTTGCATTCCTGCATTGGGCCCTCAAATATACTGTATGCTGCTTCATAGCCGTGGTCGGTATTTCTCTGTCTCAACAGACCGGGTCATCAGACCAATCACAGCAGATTAACTTCACGCAAAGGAGGGGTTTGGGAGCAAATTAATTGCTGAACATAACAAAATATGATCTTTTATAATGCAAAATAGGAGCTCTTTAATGCTAATATTAGTACATGGTTGCAAAAACAACAGTAAATTAACTAACACCAATGTGTGCAAATACCTACTTGCGAATAAGAAAAGGAAATGTTCTAAGCTACTGAAAGCCACAGATTAAGAAATAACCTGTCTATAGCACTTTATATAGTGTGTCAAACCAGCATTACAGAAATAAACAGGAAATAATCAACAATAAGGTACAAACTTTCATCAGTGCCAAGCAAGTTCAATATATCAGGCCCATTAAGATCAGCAGAATGTTTAGTATTATGTTACTGATAAATAGGTCCACAGGGAAACTGCATGGAAAAGTCTATTTATTTACTTGTGTGAATGTGTATAAATTTAAAATAATTCAGTTTTTAAATTAATTTGAGTAGTATTCATTCATTCATTTTCTTTTTGGCTTAATCCCTTTAATAATCTGGGGTCGCCACAGCAGAATGAACCACCAACTTATCCAGCACGTTTTACACAGCTGCGCTTCCAGCTGCAACCCATCACTGGAAAACATCCATACAGACTCACTCACACACATACACTACAGTCAATGTTAGCATACCCAATTCACCTGTACAGCATGTCTTTGGACTGTGGGGGAAACTGGAGCACCCGGAGGAACCCCACACGAACACGGGGAGCCTATACAGGTCACACTTTACAATAAGGTTCATAAGTTAATTTTAATTATTGCATTTACTAACATGAATAAGCAATGAACAATACATCTACTACTGTATTTGTTCATGTTAGTTAACGTTAGTTAATGAAAATACAGTTGTTCATTGTTCATGTTAACTCATGGTCCATTAACTAATGTTAACAAGCATGGACTTGGATGTTAATAATGCATTAGTAAATGTTCAATTATGATTCATAAATGCTGTACATGTGTTGTTCATGATTAGTTCATGTTAGTAAACGCATTAACTAATCAACCTTATTGTAAAGTGTTACCAATATACGAATTCCACACAGAAATGCCAACTGATCCAGCCGAGGCTTGAACCAGCGACCTTTTTGCTTCTTGCTTCCTGAACGTGCTACCAACTGCACCACCGCGTTGCCATTTGAGTACCATTATTGACTAATATAAAAATGTTAATATGATTTACTTACAATACAGTTTGTAAAGTAATTTTTTTCTGTATTTTAGTTGATATATCATACTGTATGAGAGATTTGCTTTGTTATTAAGTGGATCTAATTGGATTTGCATTATAAACATTAAATAACAGTTTAAAAATTATTATTTTTTATTTCATATTTTATGTTTTAAGTTCTGATTAGGGATGCTCATTTCGGTTAATTTTGCTAACCGACAACCGCTGCTCATTAATCGGTTATTAACGGTTAACTGGTCAGAATACTAATAATTTTATATTAAACAAATTGAGATGACTATTTTGTGTCCGACAAATTAAATATTGCATTTTAAAATACTGATTTATTTTTATAGGCTAGTATATTAATAATTGAACATAACAACAGAGCATTTTAACGCACCTGTAGTGTTTAGCACAGAAGAACAGAATAAACTAAATAAAATGAATAAAATAAATAGGACTGCCCTAAATAATTTTTCACTTTTATAATTAATTTTTATATTACAAATCGAAAACACTGACTGATTCTTTTTAATAACCGGCATAGGCTGCTTTTTTCCAATCATATTTTTGTCTTCCGTCAAATAAAATAGCAGACTTCCTCAAATCATCGGCTCCACGGAAAATATGCCTTTATTTAATGCCCCGCTGTTATTATTATAATCACAAAACCTTTTAACACTTTTAATAGAAATCATTAATATAAAGAATATGTCCTGATATATGGTTTCCTTTCTCTCTCTCGCGGTTCAAGTGTGCGCGCTGCGTGATGAAAAGACAACAACAACGCGCGCGCATACTGTATGTTGAATTTTTGTAAACAGTTGTGTTGTTTAAATATGATTTTGCATTAATGTGCATACATGCTTTATATGCTGTAAAATAAAAGGTAAAGCCTATTTGTTGCGTTTATGATGCAGATCCAGGTCAACATCAGCGCTTTTTTTGGCATCAACACGTCTGTTTCAAACAGCAATATTCTTCTTCCATTTTGCTTCTTTGGTAAATGTGTCTGTAGCCACGGGTTATAAGTTATCGTCCTGCAAAGTTAAATATGTCTTGCAGTAAAACAAGAGGCCAACCACAGCTAACGTGCTTTTTTTTTCATTCCAAAAACGCGAGGCACACCTCACTGACTTTATGTTGACAAGGAAAAAAGAAGAGAAGAAGCGCGGTCCTCTTATGAAACGACTGAATCAGCTGGGTATCAATTGTGCAAAAGTGTTGCTGTCTATGTTGTTACAATTGTAATATTTAATACTATTGTGATATTCAAGATTTGTACATTCATACAGCTCTGGATAACTTAAAACAGCGATTAGACCTTCAGAGCGGCATTAATGCGTCCTGAAGTAAAGCGAAACGGCTATAAACTCCAGCAAGATAGAGTGATTATATACAAAGTCATACTTTATCTTTAAATAAACTATAACTATAGAAACTGTGTTCATCTTAACTGAAAGCTTCTGCGTGTTTGCTGACCTCACGCATCGCGCACCTGTCAGTCAGTCAGCACGTAACCCCAAAGGGTTAAACAGATAGCGCACAGCACTATACGGTTACAGAAAAGTTTGCGCTGTTATAATCCACTTAACTTTTAGTACGTTTTGATGCGATTATAATCCGCTATTAAAAACAACAACAACAATAACTGAATGTTTTGAATGGGTAATGTGGCCGTGGCGGGATGCATTTTAGTCCCCGCCATGGAAGAATGAATGTAGCGGAAACCAAGCTCTTTAAAAGTTCTCTGTAGTTGTCTTGACAACACAAACTGCTGCTCTGGGATGAGCCGCGTGCAAAAGATGCCCCTCTTAACGCAAAGGCACATTCAATCGGCCCCTTATGCAGTCAAACTAAAAATATATCAAATAATAATTTTAATCGTTTAACTGATAGCATTAATCGGTCACAAATGCACCCTTTCGGTTAACGGTTAATCGATTATTTTGAGCATCCCTAGTTCTGATACTCCCAAAATCATTCCATATAAATCCACAGATTTTTTTTACAAAATTCTCAGCTGAAATAGCAAAAAATGCCTGCAGATTCTGTCTGGCCCTACTGATAAAACAGTTTAGCTCAGTATGAGTGTAAATGTTAAAGGATGTGATTGAACTGTAGCTTAAAGGTATAGTTCCCCAAAAATGAAAATTGACTCATTTATTTACTCACCCCCAAGAGATTTAACATCCTTATGAGTTTATTTTTTTCTGTTGAAAACAAAAAATTCATCATTCAAACAACCAATGGCTTCCATAATAGGAACTACTATAGAAGTCAATGGTTACAGGTTTGCAAACATTTTCAAAATATCTTATTTTGTGTTCAACAGAATAAAAAAATACTCAAGGTTATTTGAGGTTAGTGAGTAAATGATGAGAGTATTTTCTGATTTGCGTGGCCAATCCCTTTAAGCCAAAGGTGGACTTATAAAATCCAAGTGCCAAAAATGCTTCAAATGACAACATTAGGACAAATCACTGTGCTTTTTGACCAGACAGGAACATATTCATCTAAGTAAGAGCAGCATAGTAAAGTTGAGAGACAAGCCAAAGACAACAGTGTGATCAGTGTGTGTTTATTCAGGCTCTCCTTTATTGCGGATTCCATTAATATACTCTGTGGCTGACTGCTGTTTTTGACCTTGAGTAGTGTGTCATGAGTAATCTTTTCACTTTCATACACGTGTGTCTTTTTATAATAACCGAGAGCATGCTTAATTACTGAGTAAAACACCACAAACATGTACACAAAACATCCAGCCTGCCCTGTCTGAGGAATTCACTAACATGGATCACATCCTCAAGCAGATATACTGTAATGAAAAAAAGCTTCAGCTGGGTAAAACATACACACAGCTCAGAGATCCTGTTGAGACGTGAAGACCCTGCGCCTTTGGTGATTACATGATGAGCCATAATTAAGCAAGCCGACTGGAGATTCACCAGCGTCCCCCATCCACAGCACAGCACAGGTTTGCAAAGAGAATGAATCATCGCACACATCGAAATTGATTGCATTCCCTCACAACAGAGATTGTGGGCTGCCCCGGGGCATCAAACAAGATGCCAAACAAACCCCGTTGAGCTGTATTTCCCACCCGTATCAACAGAATCCATCTATCCATCATCCGTCGGCATTGATCTCTCAGCTGAGTGTGAAATATAAACACCATTCGCACTCAACTCTGACATATCAGGCAAACTATGACAATGAAGACCGTGACAAAAGCGCAGCAAGCAGGCAACATCCTGCACGTAAACTCCACAAAGCACAGGAAACACTGGTGGTGCAACTGAGACAAAAACCAATGCATAGATAAAGCGCACCAATTCATTTGAGTTCAAGCTGTCAGTGTTGACATAAGAGAACAGACACGGTGAGTGGAAAACAAGGGATGTGCACATAGACAGAGAGCAGAAAACAGATGTGCATTAGAGAAAATGGACAAATGGTACCCTACCTCTGCTTGTTCAGGTGACGGTGTCCGTCAAATGCTGATCTGAGTGCTGTCGGAGGACGGACAGGCTCACAAACAAAACGCTATAGGGAGCAGAGCTCAGGCAGAGCTGGAAGCAGCTCAGTCAGCGGCAGAAACATCCCTCCCCTTCTGCATGAATTAATTAAAGCTCTCCCTCGCTCTGCCTCTCGTGATGATTCTTCAGTGCTGTACACAGCGCTGACTGTAGAGGATGAAAATGTCCCTGCACTTTCTTTTCTGACAGGCTGTTTACAGAGCGCTCTTTGCCGTGGCTCTGCTTCTCTGTCACTCTCTTGCTGTGCACACGCTCGCTCTCATCAACACAGCAATATCAATGTGCTTCTCATAGGGACAGCCCTCCCCCTGGTGAACAACCCTAACCAAAACAGTTAGTGCACATCCACCGTCTTTTTTTTTTTTACAGGAAGCAATATAATGTAAACAAAAATGCTATACTGCCCATCTGGAAAGAAAAATAAAACAATGTAACATTTTAAATAATTTGAACTTTTGACTGATTTTGAAAACAGCTTTAAATTGGCTTTTAAATTTTTGGTTTGTTTGTTGTTTGCTCATTAAATGTACTTAATATTAAGGTTAGATATATTAGTCTTTCATGTCTCATTTTACAATTCTATAGGTCACGTGGTATTTGTGTTAAAAAACACTTGTGCCTTTTCAAATTTCGCAACTTACATTAAAACAGTTGCGTCAGTTCATCAATCTGCAGAGTTTGCAGCCACGTTTGTTTATTTTAAATAACATTCAGTTTTTCCACCAATGGTTTTCTTCTCTTTAAAAGATTTTAACCCTTGTGCACTGTTCAAATTTACTGCCCTTTTTATGTTAAGGTTGAAAACATTCACTAAGGCCGTACTCACACTAGGTACAGTTGCCTCGAACCGGGCCATAGCACGCTTGTCCCCCTTCCCGTCTCCCCTGACGGCCCGCACTCACACCACAAACGGGCCTCGGCTAACTTACGTCATTGCTGCTGCGCTGTTCAGTGAGAATCGCTCTCTCACTCAGCAGCACAGTGGAGATTTCTCTAGTTATATTGTTTCAGTCTTTTGCTATGCAGTGACATGCAGTCAAATATTTCGCAAAACAGTCCTTAGGGATGCTGTGACACTCAGTCAGATATTTCGCCGAACAGATCGGCCACTTTTGGTGCTCATAAACAATCATAAAGCTCTCGTGCTGCAGGAATGAGGAGGTCTACTGAAGCCGCGCAGCTGTCGTGCAGTGAGGAGTTCTCGTTTTTAATAAACTACGGCAGTTTGAGTTCACTGAACAGTAAGAATGATTAATAAATCCATATGAAACAGCCCCTTAAAAGTCACGTCTTACTTTCAGTTTCGGGCTTTGGCGCGTTTTGCACTCACACACAAGCGTACCGTGCCAAAGCCCAAGGGAACCGCGCTCAGGCACACCTCTTCCAACCGGGCCAGGACCGGCCAAGTGAACATGCTTGAGCCAATTCAGCGCACTCACACTTCTCAAACGATCCGGGAAACGGGCCAGGGCACGGTACGGATGGCATAGTGTGAGTTGGCCCTAAATTAAACTGCTGTAAAAATGAATCAGAATTTATTTATTTATTTTTTGGAATAGATCTGTTAATCAATCTCAGTCCTGATCAAAACTACTAAATGTTTTAAACAAATTGCAGGATTTTAACTTTTTAATTGCCAAATTCATATATTATGTCAATGATTTGGTTAAAAAAAAAAAAACACAAAATGATGTATTTTCAATATAAAAAAATAATTGTGGACTGGATTTTTTAAACCAACCTTTTATCACAGTATGGACATGTGAACAATTAGTAACAACATTAGCTTCGATGCATTGTTAGATTTTCATTTATTCTCCCTAATTTACTGTTGGTGGCTGTTTTTGCCCCATTGACTTCCATTATAACCACACTTAATGGTGCATAAATACACAGTCTTTGTTTTTGTTTATTGCATGTAGTTCTGAGGGCTCAGTTGCATGTTTTGATTTTCTTAGGCCCATCAAAGTAAGTATGCAAAGATCACTTTCACACACACTTTAATTTATTGTTATACTCCAAATAAAATCCAGAAAGTAAGCCTTTTTTGCACAGGCCTATCTAAAGAGTTAATGGTGCCAACTGATGATCAACAGTAAAAATGACAAAATTTACCTCTTCCCAACTGGGAAAACCACCAACAATCAAAAATGCATGATTATATGATGGCATGGTTTTGCAATCAAAATAATGTGGTTATAATGAAAGTCAACGGGGCAAAAACAGCCACCAGCAGTAAATTAGGGAGAAAATATGAAAATTAATCAAAAACACTGCATCAAAGGCAATGTTGTTTCACACGTCCAAAAAATCCAGTCCACAATTAATTTTATATTAAAAACACATCATTTTGTGTGTGTTTTTTCACCAAATCAGTGACATCATTTATGAATTTGGCAATTAAAGAGTTTAATCTTGTAATTATGTAAGAAATTTTGTGGTTTTGATCAGGACTGGGGTTGATTAACAGATTTATGCAGATTTGATTATATTCTTAAAAAACTTCAAAGCATTTTCTTAAAATATGTGTAAAATAAGATTTGCCACCAAAAATCGTTCTGCTAGCTGAAACATAGAAATGGTTTTGGCATAATTAAGACCCTAAATTCCCCGAGAGTGTTGAAAACATCCCTAACAGTACATAAGCATTTTCTGGAGCCACATGTAATAATGTTGTTTTGCCTGTGTATATATATATATATATATATATATATATATATATATATATATATATATATATATATATATATATATATATATATATGTATATATATTCTGACATTAAAAGTGCCATTAGCCATACAAAGGACCAGCTAAAAACCCACTTTAATGTTCTACAGAAGAAAAACAAGAACTTACATCTTAGAAGGCCTGAGGGTTTGAGATGAAACAAAACAATATTGGGTGCATCTCTTATAGCACCGCTGCGCACCGCTATTTGTTTGAATCTTATTTCATATTCTCTTTCAGTCCCTGGGCAATGAAAACCGTTCTATTTGAAGCATAACAGGGCATGCTATTTTGCTCTCTTCTATTCTTATAATAAATAACATGCTATATAACCCTTCTTATTTTGTGGAGCCAAATACAACCACAAAATTTCATCATGCTACTATTATATGTTCAAGTTTAAACTCACAGTTATTTGAGATCAACTGCAGATCTATAATTACTGTATGTACCACTCTAACCTCTAGGTGGGAAAGCATCATGTGGCTGGGGTTCACAATGCAGTTCCACAACAATCAAAGCCACTGTTCACTAACACAAGATAACAAAGAGCTAATGGCACTAAAAAACAACCCATGATGGTTCCTGAAATCGGAGGACGACTGTAGATTATTTAACAAAAAGTCATTAAAGACTCCATACAATTATAATAAGAGCTTTTTTAGGCCTTTAATCCATGTCTTTTAACATTAAGGTTGTCTACTTGCTATTAAAATAATGCTGACAAACATTTCTCGAATACTTAATTATGCGTTGAAAATTTACATTTGTTCTCTTCTCGGCAACGTAACGCTCTAGATCAGAGTTGTCCAAACTCAGTCCTGGAGGGCCAGTGTCTTGTATTTTTTAATTCAACTCCAATTAAACACCTGAAGCAGCTAATCAAGCACTTTTTAGGCATGCTAGAAACTGGTGTGTTGGAGGAAGTTGGAACTAAACTATGCAGGACACCTGCGCTCCAGGACCAGGTTTGGACACCCCCACTTTAGATTAGGGGTTTTCAATCTGTGGGGTGTGCCCCACCAAGGTGCGTCAGCACCTATTAAGGGGGGAGCGAGAATTTGAGGTGTGCACTCGAGTAAATTATGATGAGGATTTTTATCCGTTTACTAGACTCAATCTGAATAACGTTAGTTCCACAACTATCAGGCACCTATAGAGTTTATGCGTTCGGTTAAAATAAATGCAAATAAAATGAACCAGGTGCTTTTTAAAATGAACGACTATGAATGTAAGTAAAACCGGTGAGCTGTCTGACAAAAAGTGCTAAATCAGATCAGCAGGATGCCCTTCTGGATCTTTCACTTACTTCGAAGACACTACTGACTATGTTTACAAAGACATCTGTAATCTAGTTATTTGCCTAAATCTAAATTAGACAATAATATAATCAAGGTGTTTATGTAACCAGGCTATCCAGGTTTCCCAGAGTCTCATGTAATTTTGGGTGTTACATCTTTAATTTTTTTAATTTAACTGCAGTTCGGCAGTTTCATTTTCACTCATTAATATTTCATTCATGCTCCTATGACAAACTGGGATATTAGACACAAATATAGAGTAAGGACTGGTGGAAGAGTATGGTTTTGGAATGCAAATGGAATTTGATGGAAAGAAAAAAACTTCCACAATTTGTGATGTGTGTCTGTGGTCCTTTACTGACAGCCGTGTGTGTGCATCTTGTCGCAAAATGCAGCGAAAAGTCCAACATGATGGTAATAGTTTGTTTGACTGCGGTGTTTACTTCAATAAGGCCACTAATATATGCATACTCCACATCAAAGTCAAAGTCAAAGTCAGCTTTATTGTCAATTCAGCCACATGTACAAGACATACAGAGAATCGAAATTGCGTTACTCTCAGACCCAAGGTGCTTAACATTAATATAAAATATATATATAAAAAATAGTAGAGTTTAAGAAAAAAAAGAAAATGTACAGTATATACATTGCACATAAATGTGGTCTAAAAAATATACATATGTAATAAAAATTGTAAACAATACAGTGACATTAAGGGCAATCATCCCTATGTGACATCAGCAAAGATCTATTGAGTGTCTCTCTACTGTACTCATAGAAATAAAGGTTTCAAAATGGGTTTTTTACACTGGTGCCAAAGAGGAACAATTTTGGGTTTATACTAAAACTAAACTAACATTTGTATTGTTGGTGTACAGAATATTTTAATAATCTAAATTAATCTAATATTGTTAATATAATAAAAATCTAAAAAGCCAAGTCAGTATGAACTGCCCATTAGAGACCAGTTTCTGTTAGATACACAAGGTTGCTAAAGGTTTGAATATGTATTAATGAGTTGCACTCATTACAGAAAGCTTGTCAAAAGCCTGATTAGGGCTGGGTGATATTGCAAAAAAAAAAAAAAAAAAAAAAGATCACAGTATCATTATTAGTTTAGTATCATTATCAGTATCGTTATTGAACACATGTCTTAATTCGATTTCTGTTTAGCTCAATTATGACTTTAGTCGGATTAAGGTAATCAAAAATCACTGTTTAC